ATTCAGACCTTGTAAGGCAGCGTGGAGGGGGGAAAGCGTGCAAACTATAGATTCAATGCTAAACCTCTTTCGTGAAATTGTGGGGGAGCGGTGTTTGCTTTGAATGTGCGATATAAGAAGTCCCTTGCCCCGGAGGGCCCCAAATTGAGGAATTACACAGTGTTTTGGGCTTGAATCGCCTTCAGAAAATATGCATGGACTAGCTGTAGATTTTCTCATGGTTCCAGTTGCTGATTTATAGGAGATATATCTCAGAGAACGATGGACGGGTTGAGTACTAGTATGGCCCCGGAGGGGCCGGACAAATTCGATTTTTGTAGTATTTACACTCGGATTTTACGGTAAAACATGCCATCTGTCACTCACTAGCTGCTTTGTTCCTACTTCAGGGCTCTGAGGGTGATTTGTGGAGCATAGGCCCGAGAGTAATGCAGATTTTGGTCCCAAGGGCCTCGAAGCCACAACTGCCCATGTGCGCCACATGGCTCTCTGAGCCAATCCCATTTTTTCTTTTTTCTTTTTCTTTTTATTTTCTTTTATTGCAACTCTATCATTATCGAGCCAGGACCCCTGAAAATACCGATAGATGCCGGTGCCAGTCCGGACAAAAATCGCGGTCTCGAGCCCTCAGGCCTCCATGCCAGACGCCATCCGGACAAGGATGGATGACCGAACCGGCCATCCCGGTTTTACAGTCCGGACACCGGTCATGACCGAGCTACCATGCCGGTTACAGTCCGGACACGGCTGTGTGGCAAGTTGGCAACGGACTGGCCCAATGTATTTACCCTTTGTAGTACATGTATTTTAACCCAATTATGGCTGAGGTTTGTCCCAACCTGTCATTGTGTACCATCGCATAGCCTCGTGTAGCCCTTATTTGCACTGTGATATATAGTTTCTAGTGTGTAGCACAATGGGCTCCGATGTCCAGTGGCTGAATGTGGCTGAGATCAGTACGCTGTATTGTCAAAGTTTCCCTACACCATCACCACTTTACATGACTCTAGAAGCATGGATGACGCCCACAATACTTAACGTGTGCGCTTCGAGCTCGTTCATATGGGGTACAGCAGTCTCAGCGGGATTCACATTAGGGCGTGGCAGACATTGACCTCACGGAAGAGGTGGACATCTCATTCAATCCCAAGGATTGGATTGGGATAAAGGCAAAATGAATGCCCCACTCCAGGGTCTGGACTCGGATGGGGAGGAGGATGGTTGATGGGAGTGGGCGGCCTTCGTGAATTCTGTCGCTTCATTGACTGCATTCGAGTCCTAGTACGATTACTGATACATTGTACAGTGTTCTAATGAGTTGATAGGCGAGAAAACCTTTTTTTCTGTCTTTTCAGATGCCGGTGCATTAGTCCAGACAAAAATCGGCCCCTTCGGGAGGCCGGTATTTTATCCGGACAAAAATGCGGGGGGGAGCCTCAGACAATCCAGACATGGAAATTTTGAGTCTTGCACCAGCATTTATCAGTATTTTCAGGGGTCCTGCTAGACTCCGGTCCATGCATAGACTATGCTTTGCATCTCACTTGCATATCGAAGTAAACAATCAGTACTAAATTCCATCTCAATTCACCGCAGCAGCTACATGCTGTGAACTGCACTCCACAGCAGCTACAGGCTGTGAATTTTGCACACCAAATCAAGGAGGAGCTAAATATCTCTTGTATACGTCAAAGATTCGAAATAATTACTTTAAATTATATCCATTGGGACATGCATCCTGCGCTTTCCGGGAGACGGGACGTCTCCCGGATGGCGCAGGATGGCAATAAGTGTTCAGCTGGCCAGCCAAACTCTGGCTGCATTTGTGCCAAGCACCTATGTGATAATTAATTCATCCCATCCCCCAAAGGAGGGGTAAGATGCCAGCACCAGATGGAGCTTCCCGAGTACATAAGCCAACAGGGTTTGCCCTATCCTGTAACTACACAAGCTGATGCATGGTGCCCACAAGATTGGAAGGTACTGGGATAACATTCCGAATCATGAGCATCGGGCAATGTGCCCAATCTGCGGATTGGTCGACTCAATGGAACATATTCTTACCGAATGCTCTGCCCCAGGACGCAAGGAAGTCTGGCAGTTAGCAGAATCCCTGTGGCGCCAGCAATGAAACCACTGGACACGTCCCTCTATCGGACTCATATTGCGACTAGCAAGGTCTCTGCTTGTCAGGAATTGAGCCATCAAAACTATATTTGTTTATATTTGTTCGTGGCGAATGTCACGAATACTGTTTACTAAGTAGAGTTTCAAGTTTCGGGGCATTAAGTATGCCACGCATGATAATGCTAATGAGCGGAGTTTGAATATGCACCATAATGGGCAGGATCGCGTGGTGGCAAATCTTTGCAGTGATTGTATAGCGGGGCAGTCGGGATAGTAATTGTAGTATGAACGACTACCTCATGCTTTTATTGCTGCAATTAGGTATTATTTCTGAGGAATAGCTGCGTGATAATCCGGGGTACATGCACTGTTTGTTCCAGCGGACATCGGGATTTGCCGGCCTACAGTTCAACCTCCGCTCATTAGCATGGCTGACCTCTCGGTTGAGCTACGAATTCAAAGAAGAATTTCAAGCTTATCAGAAGGTATTAGATGTATATAGCCCGCTATTTAATGGGCTCAATTACGACATATTGTTTTGCTCCGGGTGTTGTGAGTGTGATCCAGGATCAGCCACCCATGCTAATGAGCGGGGTTTGAACCGTGGGAATCGCTTCGACCATCCCCCCGACTCTGTGTTCATCCTAAAGGAATTGGAAGGCTTTCAGATACTGATATAGCCGTACAGCATGATAGATTATAATTGTGCAACCACAACACCTGGCACTTAAAATGCATATGGTGGGACCAAAAGGCAGGTTCTGCTTGGGGTAGCTAAGGATGGGCGCGGGTGGCGGGTACCACCGCGGTATTGGGCCCGCGGGTCGCTCGGGTGCGGGCTCGGGTTCAAAATCCCTCGAAGCGAGAGCTACTGTGAAACCGTCCCAACAGGTCTCGGGTCCCACGGGTCTGGTGGAGGGCACAATATTTATATGATTTGTGATTTTTGAGGGGTAAATGCAGCAAAAACATGGGAAACTGGCTCCTGGTGATACTGGAGTCAGATCCAGGTGTACAAAGGAACTGGCTCAACAGTACCTTCAATAGGGTGCCTTGAATCTACAAAGCCCTACCTTGGGCATTGGCCAAGGGCACCCAGCGACCCGCGGTCTCTCGGGCGGGTTTTGTACCCTTGCCTGCTGCAGGTGCGGTACATGCAGGTACGGGTCAGGGTCAGCGTGGCAGAGCCACGGTGTCACCCGCGCCCAACCTTAATCTCTTTGTTCACTTACATATATTGGTTGTTAGGGAATGTTTGCGAGGACAGATAGGTATGTGAATGGCATAGTGGTATCCCATGTCTGGAGTATTGTGTGCCATACATACATCGAG